CCTCAATTATTGGGACCCCAACAGCTCAAGTACATGACTGTCCTCAGAGACTCTTCAGATTGCTTTGCTTTCTCTTCTCTCAATTGATTCCGAACAGCCGCAGAAGACTGAGAAGACAGCATCCTGGTCTGCGAAGCTGACCTCAAATGGTTCTTGGCATGCTGGTGAAGCGACCTTAATGTATAATTCCATCTGCAAATTCCCTGGTCCTTTAGTGCCTCCACTGCTCCCATAGTCGTCGCCACAACCCAAGCTCTGCTTGTTGAACTCATTGCAATACTTTTCTTCTTCAAACGAACACCCTTTGCTAGTAGAAATTATTATATTATAGTGAGATATTGTGCTTTTGTTGATGAATAAATGAAATGGAAAGCGAGTCTTATATAGAGGAGAGGATGAAGAAACAGAGGTAGAGGCCGGAAGTTTGGGAAAAGAAACCAGGGGAAATGCTGATGGTTTTGGGAGGTGATATGACGAAAAAGGGTCTTTGGGATGGACTAAATGACAGACATGGGTGGGGGTAAAATGAGATTTTCATATGCGATTTGTTTGTAATGAATTATTACTCAAATGAATAAGTGATGGCGTTTGGTTGGATGAGAGCAACGGCGCCGGCACACAGTTTTTGGTTTATAAAATCTGGAATTGGTAAAGGTGTTCAAAACCACTTACTCTTTCTTTAGAAAACAAAACTCACGCACTCCGGTGGGCGCGGACAACCCTAAGGAGGTGTAACCTCCAAGTTTGATGTTCTAATTTTAAGGGATCATCCGAGTACCCATTCCTCCTCCACCCTTCTCCCCTCACGTCTATTCTTTCCTTCCTGCACTGCATAAAAAACAAAACTGATTTGCTTTCTGACAGGTGGCAACCTCTTTTAAAGAACATGGATGAAAACCATTCCATTAGAAAAATAAGAATGCATTGTCCGATTCATATTACATTAGATAATAAAATTTATATAAATAAATAATAAATTTTTTAATATTAAATTTTTTTAATTTAATAATTTATATTTTATAATTTAATATGATTGAAATTCTTAAAAAATATAAATATGTTTATATGGGATTGAGAAAAAAATATTTTAATAATTAAAACATTAAGATTAATCATAAAAAAATTAATATATTTTTAATAAATTAATCCCAAAAAATTATTTAAATAATTTCATAAAAACACTAACATTTAAAAGTACTAAAACATGTTCACTTTTACTTTTCCAATTTAGATTGCGAAAAAACAGAATGTTTTACATCCACGAAACGGACGACTATCAACCCTTTAACCAAGAAAAGAAAAAAAATTCTCCTCTTATTCCAAAATAACTTTCAATTTTGGCTTAAATTTTTTTAAAAAAAATAATTGTTGTTTTTTTTAAATAAATAAATATTTTTTATTTTAATTTTATCATTATTTATTTAATGTAATTAATTATTCAATCATAAAAAAATATCTTTATTTCTTTTTTAAAAATATTAAAGATAAATATAATTATCATCCTCAAATTTAAAATTATTTAAATCATCTCCTTTCTTTTAACTTACTTATCTAACATAAAATGATACAATCCTTCCATTTTCTTCTCTTTTTTTATTTTTATTTATCCAAACAAAATTTATATAAACCATTTTCTTTTCTTTCCTTTCCTTTTCCTTCCCCCTCTATTCTCCTCTATTTCCCTTATTTCCTCTCCCTTTAATATTGTCTATTCAAACGGAGTGTAAATCGATGATGTCACAATAATATTTGTCCGCGTGTGTTCCACGTCTAAAATGACAAAACTACATCCCTCATCTTCATCCCCAACGCCTCCTTTCTTCCCCCAATTCACGTTCTTTCTCCTACGCCTCCTTCTCAGGCATGGACGACATCTTCCTCCCATGCATAAACTGTTAAATAAGTCTTACGGCATGTATCTGATATTGAACTCTCCCATTCATAGGTTCAACTGTTTATGTTGAATTGAATACATGTTTATTTTGTAATTTAAAATAATTTAAATAATAAAATATGAATCAATTTATGTTTTATAATTTAAAATAATTAAATAAGAAATCATTGGTAATATACCGAAAACAGTTGATCTACCAAAAGTCTCCTTCAAGAATCAGATCGAAGACAAGTTTTCACTTCATTTTAAAAATTCAGATCTTAGGGTTTACACCTAGTGTGTCGTTAGAGACTCAGAACTTATTTTCTTTTGGAAGTGCTAACATTCTTCATTTTTTTTTCTAGACCATGCATAATTTTGAGATTTGGGAAAGGGATTGATACCTAAGAATATCGAAACTTGACCGTGTGCTTGTATGAGGCCAAAAAAAAGAAAAAAGACTAGGTGCTCGTATGGAGCATCCGCCAGGGACCATCGGCCCTTCACGGCAGGTTCTAATTTCTTCATTCTTGTGCTGTACTTTGAATTTGCAACACCAATTAAGGAGCCAATCCAACCAAAGTTAGGAGGGCTCTAATTAAGTCTCTTCTCTTGTCAAAGAATCTAATTAAATTACCCAAATTAAAAAAAAAAAAAAGAAATGAAAGGAACTACAATTATATGACAGTTTGCATCCACCAAAAAGGCAATAATCTACCAAAGTAAAAATATCAGAAGGGAGCAATTTGCTTGCCAAAACTCTTTTTCTCATTATCAAGTGTTCGAGCTACTGCCCTTAGACATCAATTCATACCCTCTTTTCCCATCTATATACAAAAAAATAAACCCCACTAAGATAAGAGTTTCTCCAATTTTCATCAATTATTAGGACCCCAACAGCTCAGGTACATGACTGTACTCAGAGACTCTTCAGATTGCTTTGCTTTCTTTTCTCTCAATTGATTCCAAACAGCCGCAGAAGACTGAGAAGACAGCATCCTGGCCTGCGAAACTGACCTCAAATGGTTTTTGGCATGCTGGTGAAGCGACCTTAATGTGTAATTCCATCTACAAATTCCCTGATCCTTCAGGGCCTCCACTGCTCCAACAGTCACCGCCACAACCCAAGCTCTGCTTGTTGAACTCATTGCAATATTTTCCTTCAGTAAACACTCTTTGCTTGTAAAAATAGAAACTAAAATATTATGGTGAGATCTTGTGCTTTCGTTGATGGATAAATGAAATGGAGAGGGTTTCTTATATAGAGGAGCAGATGGAGAAACAAAGGTAGACGCCGGGAGTTTGGGAAAGAAACCAGGGGTAAAGCTAATGGTTTTGGGGGGTAGTATGACCAAAAAGGGTCTTGGGATTGACTTAGTAAGTTGAAATGGATTGGGGCAAAATAAAACTTTTACATGCGACTTGTGGATAATATAACTATTACTTAATGAGTAAGCGGTGGCGATTGGCTGGCTGGGAGGAACTGCAGGGAAAGTGGGCACACGGTTTTTGCTTTATGAAAAATCAGCGGAACCGGGAGTGTGGGAATTGGGAAAGAAATTCAAAACCACCCGCTCTTACTATAGAAAGTACAAAGTAGAAACAAAACTGGTACCTGGGAGTGGGGACAAGCCGTCCCCAAGGGAGGTGTAACCACCAAGTTCGATGTTGGAATTGTGTGGACCATCCCAGTACCTATTATCCCTTCACCCGGTTTAAGAAACGTGGATGAAAAATATGTTTAGGGAAAAAGTCCCCTACTTTGCCGCTGAAACTGTAAAAATACTTTTTTTTATTAGAAAAATATTGACATATTTTTTCATGACTGAGGCTGCCTCTTCTTAAAAACATGGATGAAAACCATTTGCATTAGAAAAATATTAACATATTTACATTACCCGAACAGATTGTTTTACATCCACAAAATGGATTATCTCCAACCCTTTAACCAAAACTATGAAATAAAACTCTACTAAAGCGCTCGCCAAGATGCCTTTAGTGTAAATACTCGAAAATTTTTATAAAAATCAAAACAGTGAAATACTCCCTGTGTGTGTGTGTATTTTTTTTAATTTTTTTACACAACTTATAGTGCAATGATTAGAGCTAAAAATACCTCATTTACCCCTAATCCATTCTAGAGTCTTTTACAAGCCCAAAAGCTCTTTTCTCTCTAGGTTCAATAATTAGAAGGGGTCGGTGTTTTTAGGTTAGTAGCAATAGGGGTAGTCTTGAACAAAAATTTTTAGAGATGTGTTTAGTTTGATTAATTTTACAAGAAGTGAGATCAAGACATTATAATATTTAAAATATTAAGGTTTTTTTTTATAAAATTATTTACATATTTTTAATAAAAAGTTTTTATATGTGGATTTATTAAGTATCTTTAAATAATTTTATAAAAAAATTTATATTTTAATTATCAAAATATTTTAATTTTTTATAATTTCTTAATTTTATTAATTTATAACTTTTTCTCCTTAAACAACTATTTTTAATCGAGCTATAATACCTATCCAACTCCAAATTCATGTTGTCTTCTTTGTCTATCATAGGCAACACTTAAAAAGATAAATCAAGAAAGTTTAAACAAAAACTCTTGAAAAAGAATGAGTGAGAAAACCTTAAAAATAGAGAGATAATATCACCTTTAATCATTCTCCCCA